TGCCAGGAGCCCCTAGTAGCGTCCTTGCTCCTAGTAGCGATGCCAGGTAGCGTCCTTGTTCCTAGTAGTATGAGTTAGTTACATGGAAAAGAGATGAAAACAGTCACATCGAGTTGGCTCATGTCTTCCTTCGATTGGCCTTTGTGTCTACGTTCGATTAGGCGTCAGCGTACGAAAACAGTCTAACATAGTCCAACCGGTGCGGAGATGGTCCGAGACTGCTGACAAGCAGCGTTACCAGGTTCTTCGCTGCATTCCCTTGCACCCCTGGCAACTTAGCGCCAAAATGAGGATGACAATTTATGGACAAATGTCCTTTTTGTTTTTGTATGTTTTTTAATGTTTCTATCTCTTTCTCTTGTTCTTCGTTGTTCTCTCTCTCGCCCCGTCTTCCGAACGGGACATTCTGTATGGCCCCGGCTCAAGTCCGATTCCTCCACCTGGAAAATGTCGTACCTCTTCGACCAAACCCCACTCACATTTTCTGGAGAGCAACCTTTCCCAAACTTCAAGCGTTGCTCTCACTTTCAGAAACAGACCTTGAAGCGTTTCACCACATTTGTTTCTTCACACAAGTGAAAATCCATCCATCTCTTCCGCCCTTTTACTCTCCCTGGTGCATCTGCAGCTCGGTGCCAGAGTCTCCGCTGTCCCCTTGCAGGTTGGAGTGTGTTGGAGTGCGGAACAAAGTCTCCCTAGTTATATAGATTACTGGATGTCATATTGACGTCGACAAACAAGACTCAATGACTTGCCTTGCCTTCGTTGCCTTCGTCATCCTGCATAAGTGACTGCCCTCGCTTTCCACAATTCCTCAGATTGTGCGACTGCCGTGGCTCGCCTGTGTGCCGGTCTCAACGCCAGGGCACTTGTATAGCAAGCAGGCTTTGCAGTTCACTGCAAAGTGTGTGGCAAAGAACTTGCAATCCTCAGGTCCACGCAGTCCAGTCCACACGTCCGTTCTTTTTGATTGAAGAATTCTAGCCAATGACCTCCATCTGGACATGGTGGTTTGAGTATTGAGTTCTGTCAACTGAATTAGAGGTTCTTCCTTGCCATGTGCAGTCCAGGCACACTTACGATGGAGCAGAGATGAAAGCACTCATCTACCGACTCCACATTGCAAATGCCTCCAAGTCGTGCTGTGGCGCTTCCGATTCTCACTTCCGTTGCCATGTGTGTAGCAACATGTTGGGCAACATCCAACATGTTGCATCAAACACATGTCCGCTCAAACCCTTTTCCCAAACTATTTTTGGACATGTGCTCCGTTTTCTTCTCACATAAAGACATTTAGAGTGCATTTCAAGCGCCTGGCTGCTCTCGGGTAGTGATTAGCTTCCAGTCCAAGAGCTTCTCCTCTGTGAGATACGGATACTCCTGCGCTCACAGTCGGAGCAATCGTCTCCAAACACAAAAAGTGCAAAAAATCACATCTCAAAAAACGTACAAGTCATTCGAAAATGAACTCCATTTATCTCGCCGAAGGTCTCGATTCGCCCACTGCCGCAGTCCGCTCTCAGTCCGTTCCCGTCATTTTAGAGGCGTCCGGGTCGTGACTCGAGACTTCTTTGGGTCCCAGCTTGAAGTAGTGGAAGGTCGCCTCGACAAAATTTGTGAGAATCGATTGTCCAACGGTAGGGATTATAAGGCAGGTAGGGGATCAAGGGGATGTGACCATTCACGAGATTTATCCGTCACTATGCAAAGCTGTTTTGAAAAAGGGAAAACTCAAGTCGAAATCGAATCCGATTGGTCGGCCTCGCAGCCTGGCTCCATGGGAGCGAAGCAGAACACGCCCATCTTCCAAGGTTTGTCGCCGCGAAGACTGGCTATTCGGATGAAGGAGAAACTCCCTGGGCATGTCGCTAGACCATCAAATCGAGGAAACGGGTGTTTCTGAAAATCTGCATATAGTATATTGGAAATATGCCGCATTGTGCCCATACACTATCGGGATCTTCAGCATGTTGGAGAATGGAATTCAGAATCTTCCGAAAGCAGGTTTGACCTGCCAATTTTCGCCCAGATAGCGATAGCTATGGGGTTCTTATTCCTTTAAAAAATTAGCTGGCTGTGGCGCGGCTGGTGCCGGTGCTGGGTGCTGGTGCCAGTGTTGTGAGCTGTCTGTGCTGGCTGCGCGTACATTCTAGTTCCAGCCATCCGCATACCGACAGCTACAGAACTTGAGTCGTTGGATTCTGCCTAGCTATCTGGGGGGTCTATGCTGGCGTATTTTTTGTCAGCACAAGTTTTCCTCACGAGCCAAGGTCATCATCTTTCCGGCCTTCATTCAGTGATAAGCGTCTGACACCAAAAAGTGATACAACCCTGACCCACTCAGAAACAATGCGCCTGGGCTATCTGCGTGGTCCTCAGCATTGAAAGGCGCAGCTTCTACCACAAGCGCGGGGCCTTGTTCAGGACCAGGAAATTCCTGTCAAACATTGTGACAATGTTGTGACACATTGCCCCCCTATATGCCCATCGGTGACACCCCAAACACCCAAAGCAGGCGTCAGCACTAGTGCGTGCAATTCAATGCGCAGGTTGCTGCGCCTACGTATATGTGTATGTGCGACAGAGTGCGTCTGCACACGCACGTGTGTGCGTGTGTCCACACCTGTACCAAAGCGCAGGGGGCAGTGACAGAGTTTGTGGAATCACTGCCAACGAAGACGTCCACATTCTCTGGTGATGCATCGGGAGACGTCCTGATGTGTACCTGCAGCTTCACGATCAGATGATGTAAACAATATTGCTCCGGGCTCCCTCACCTTGCCGTTCTCTCTCAGGGCCGTTTCTCAGGGCTCAGGCAGACCCCTAAACCGGTATCGTAATCACTAGAGTGGATTGCCTCAACTGATTTAGCTCTTGCGAGCATCATCAATCTAAGTGTGTAACCTTTGGAGTCACAAGGTTCTTGTTGGAGTGTTTTTTCTTTGCAGTTTACTTGTAGAGCAGGGGGTGCCAGGGACCGTGCAAGTCTGGCACTAACAAAGATGCTTGCGCTGGTCTGTGAAATCAATCCAGGACGCCGGATTGACGTACCTGCGTGGAAAGGAACCTACGTAAAGCACAAGCTGTCCACTACGTTGTTTCCGTCAGTCAAGGGCTAGTGCACGACCCGTCCGTCGTCGCTCTGTCGCCGCCGCTCGCTTTCATGTTTATAGGTTTTGGAGGCCTCAGACTCTAACTTTCTACCTGGAACCTTAGGCGGTTTACTTAGGCTGGCGTGTGGCAAGCCGCAACCAAATCAGTATGCAAAATCTTAAGTGTGTGTGTGTGTGTGTGTGTGTCCACCCTTGTCCCCAAGGGTTTTCACGCATGTCCGAATTCACAGCTGCGTGGGGCGTGACGGTTGATTTCCTAGTCACGCCAACGAAGCTATGGAAATCAAATGGATGGAAGCTTGGACGCAAACTTCCGTACCTGCCACTGTGTCAACACTCCACTCTCCACCGCTTTTTTTGCTGCCAAAGTTGTTCTCATGATAGACCCCTAAACCTTTCCCACTGCTTCTCCAGCTGCTTGTCGCCGCGTGAAAAAATTGTTTGAACACTTCAGTTGTGCTGACTTTGCACCTTTCCGTTCCCTCATTCATTTCCTCGTGGATTCTGGTACTGAAAGAACCTGCGACAAAGTGTGTATCGCTGTGCTTTCCCACTTGGGTGCGCAGTGTGATCCCCGCAAGGGGCGCCGAAGCCACTGTGAATCACACATGGACTCGGCGTTTCTGCACTCGTGGATTATGGCGACTTTCCTTTTGCCCCAGCCATGAATCACCGGACCCCAAGGCTGCCGAGCTACGGTTTTCAACGCCGCCGGGCATACGGTTTACACACACATGTACATACACCCCTTCCCCCCTTTTCCCCCCGCTTTCTCTCTTGCACGGTCTGGTGTGAGGAGTGGAGAAGGGCGAATGGAACACCGATGGATGCCACGCTCCTCATCAAGGGTTGGGGAGAAGCAGCACACACCAATGAAGATTGCTCCAGGCTTGCCAGAGAGCGAGAGAAGATGCACTCCCTGCACGAAGTGCAGGATTATAGTGCCATGAAGGGAGAAATGAAGATGGAAGATGAAAGAGCGAAAAGGCAGTTTGAGCTGGAAATCGGTTGGACACGACCGAACTTCGAAGTGGGATTGCAATAGCCTGACGGCATTCCAAAGGGGGAGTGTTCGCTCCTTCTGCATTGAGCATGTTAGCATATGTTGTGAACCGTAGCTGCCTTTTTGGCACAGACCGCCCCAAAGGAAAAAGCTAGCGGTCGTGCGAGCTATCAGTGACACTTAGCGGAGGTGCACTAGAGAGACGGAGCATTTAGGTTTTTGGGCCTGACGGAAGTCAGTTTGGAAATTTCTTTGCAGGTTGGACCCCTGTGCACCGCTCAGGTTCTACCTATATCGAGGTTTCTAGGGTTGGGGGCAATCACATCGTACGAACTTGTATCTTGAGTGTGTGAGAGAGGGAGCGAGAGCGGGAGTGTGTGTGTATGTACGCGTGTGTACGTGTGCACCTTGGAGTCACAGGTATGCAGTTCTGTTCCCCCAGTTCGAAAACTCTTGATACTTCAGTTTGGGGGGTACACGCTCCAAAGACCCTGGCCCTAGATGTGGGGCAATATCGATCTGGGGCGCCGGATCGATGTACCATACCTGTTCGGCATACCCGACTACCGTTGAGACAGGCTGTTTCAGGCAGTCATGGAGTCCGAATCTTGTAACTGCAGCGTTGGTTTGGGATTTCTCGACACGGTTTGATGGAGGTTAGTTGGACTCCTTTGCATTACCTGCGACTCACCCAAATAGATTCCTTGGCGATTTGTTTTTACTCCTTTTTCAACAATTTCTTGGACAGTATGCCTGTTCAGTTTTCAATTGACCTATTTGACCACCATGCGGAGGCAAATCCCCGTCAGGGGACATTCCTTGTGGACTCGTAGCCGCAAGGATGTGCAGTTGCCGTCCCAATCACTCCAGCATTGGGTGCTCCAATCCTCAATTGGACCACGAGAGACCAAAATCCCGGGCACTCAGACATCAAGACATCAAGAGTATTTTTTTGTATCTTTGTTGAGCAAGTATCGAAACAAAAAATCAACATTCAACCTCCCATGATCAACCCACTTTACTGTCTTTGCCTCCCGCAAAATGCTACACAGGTTGAATAAAACACGAAGAGACCAAACGCTCAAAACAATTGCATGAATTGATGACATGGCGGTTAACAAAATATATCGTGTTCATAGTGTGCCCCACTTGGCTCGAGTCTCTGAAAAACCATTGTTCGTCACCACGCAAGATAAACGTGGGACACCATCACAAAATTCGATGCCGGCTTTCACCCAGGTCTCCTCATCCACAAGGATCATAGCCTAAAGAACACACACCACACCGCGTTCCCAATCATGTCTTAAAAGGAACGCTTCCTGTTCAAACAATGTTCGATCTGTGTGTTGGTTTTGTTTGGACTTTGAACAAACACAAAAAGCCTAGGCACGTCACATCGTTTGATCTTTCCAGTTTACCATCCAGTTTGCAAAGCCACGTAAAATCGCTCTGATCACACTAGATATTGTGCACACCTGGCCTGCGTAAGTGGGCCCACACGCACTTTGCTTTCTACCAACGCTTCCGGAATCGTTTTGAATTCGTTCTGACCCCGTGAGACCGCCCCGTCCCGCGCCGGTCTCGCCCGTCTCAGGGTGGATCCAACCATGTCTGCGACCACAGGCTCCAAGGCCGGTCCACCGTACCGGTCGCCATGGATCGGTCGTGGTGAAACGACCTCTCATGGGATCGTCTCGTAGCTCTGCAGTTACGACAGGCCTCGAGGCCTAGGAGTTTTGAGGTTCCATACTTTACCATTCTTTTGTATGTATATATGTTATATATGTTACTGGGTGTACTATTAACATGTGTATATATAATATATAGTTACTATTTTAATGGACATGCTCACCCCAAGAAATCCCCCTGGGACCCGTGGGACTCGGTGCTACGAAACCAAAGCACTCCAGCTTGATCAAACTGCGCACGAGGCTTCAGAGTGAATGCTGTGCAAAGCGTGGCCTCTGTGGAGACCGGGCAAACCAAAACCTGAACAAAGTCAAGACCAAAACAAAATGATATCGTTGATATCGTGGAAAAAACGTCAAAACATGTGGCAAATGAACTGTCTGCCTGGCCATCGTGCTTGACAAGTAAGGGTCTGTAGAAGGTCTTGCCTCAAAGAAACACATGTCATCTCGCTTCTGGCCGAAAGCTGAGATGGTAACTGGCCTCTCTTTGTCGGTTCGGAAGGACATACAAGCCAAACCGGTTAGCAAAGAGGTAGGAGTCGGTAGGAGCCAAAGCTCCACAGGTAAAGCCAGAGTTTGTCAGGGCTCTGTAGTGCTTCAATATCCCAGTTGTCCTGGAGTCCTGGCGACCCTCAACCCCTAGAGGAATGCAATGTCAGGACAGTTATTCTTTCCACCTACCTACAGAGTCATGGAACAACAGTCTCTATATTTTCATGGGTGTCAAGAACCATCATGGATAGAATCAACCCAATCATTCCCTAGGAAATGTGTTGAACATAACTTGGTGTCCTTCAGTCAACGGTGCTCTTTCTTTCATTGTTCCTCTCTCTCTTTCGCAATTTCGCAACGGACTCTTCGAAAGTGACGCACGATTATTTTCTGGCCGATTCTGGAGCTCACTAAATTGTGACAACTGTGCACTTTCACGCAGTGGGAAAATCAAAGAACTGGGACAGACTGTAAGCCGTATAGAATCCTGTGTGGTGTCGGTTTTTGAAATCCTGTGCGAATCTTATGAAACAAGGGTGCATGCGTTATATTTTCCCAATTCTAACGGTTGCCCCTGCTCCAGAAACGGCACCATAAATTATATAAAAGGGGATGCACCTGCAGCCTACAGGAAAACATATTGTGATAACAAACGGGGATCTTCAAAGTCTAAGGACTTTTTGTTCCAAATGCTTTGAAAACACGACTCCAGGCCTTATTAGTATGATAATGTGCAGTAAGGTGTGATAAGGCAGCGTTCCTTGAACTCTCTCATATGGTATCTTGCCTCATGTGTATCTCTCTCTCTCTCTCTGCCTCCCTCCCTGTCTACATCTTCAAAACAACCCTGTATCGGTTCTACAGTTGCCCTTATCTCGGCATTTCCATCTGCCCGGACTGGAATCTACCCTACTCGACCCTCGGGATTGCTTTGGAGATGAAGTGGCAGAAGGGCCCGTGCTATGTTTATGTGGAGAATGTTCCAGTAACTCAGTAGCTGTAGCTCCCAAACAGTTCTCCAAATTCTTGCTGAGTGTCTCCAATAATCCCGCTGTGGCACAGGTCGCACCCAAAGCCCTGCGCCCCGGAGCTCCCACGCACCGGCGCCATCGGCGTCAGGTGCACTGGGCTCCCACCGCAGAACCGGTGTGTCAAAGGAAGCAAGTGGCTCCAGCGGCTCCATGCGAACAACGAGCGAGAATGAGGTTGGACGGAGTGGATCTGCGATTTCTTTGACCGTAATTTCATGACGGATTCTTGGGTTTTTCGACATGCGTGTGGCTTCGATTTGGTTGGGTCTGTCGAGTTGACGTGGCTTCGATTGGCAAATCGGTGTTCAAGCAAAGGTCAAACAAGGTGACAAGGCGAGCCTTCCACACAAGTTGCGACGCTCGAAGACTTCAAGCTCATGTCTTACAAACCTGTTCGCCACATAGCTCCTCCTCCAGGGTGAACTTGTTAAATCGGTCGTTGCTTTCACAAAGACCTTGAGTGTGTCGACATGGTCCAAGACGTCTCGGAAAACAAAACACATTGCATATATATATATATATTACACATTCATGGATATTCACGGTTCTTTCATGTTCTTTACCATGTCCCTCGTTTCTCAACATTATCCAAAGAGCCGAGGTCTTTCATGTTTTGATAGCATTCGGTCTAATTACTGTGTAATCAGAAAAGTTCTTATATCAACTTATCAAACACCTGGGTATACTTGGACAATCCAGCCCGATGTTTGTATGGGAGGCTCAAACCCTGTTACTCAGTTCTCGAAGTTTTTCCTTTCGCCACTGAAGGCACGGTTACCCTCAAACATCGCCTTCTGTTGTGCACATGTAGTGGGTGATCTTCCAAGGAAACCATGGGTCAGGGGCGCATTGAGATTTGGATGTTCGACTTGATTCACTTCTGGAAGAAAGCTCAGCTAGCAAGGTTTAAGCAACAGCTAAGACCAGCCTTTGCGAATCCCCACAGGGCACCCTGCCATTGCCCAGCTTCGTGTACGCAGCTGGCTGATTGGATGACACTGTCAAAAGCTGCACGGTATCCGCCATACCTTCGGACTCGAGTCCATCTCGAGTCATACGGCGTCATACGGCGTCGGTGGATGTTTCCCTTTCGGATGTTTCGCTCTACGAGATCTTCATATCCACGGGAACTGAACAGAAAGGAAACTGAAGAAGTTGGAGCTTCGAACAGCTTTCGGCTTCACTCCGTGGGATCCCGGCCTGGAGCCAGTCCTAGGACCATGACAGCTTTGTCGCACAGTGCAGAGGACTTCGCTGTGACTTGGTCCAGCTCGGCGCTGTAGACCTTAATCAAACCTAAGGCTCCTCCACGCAAAAAAAACACATACCAAAAGGTGTATAGTGTAAAAAAGACAGAAGAAAGCAAGGTCAAACAACAGTTCACAAAGGCATTTATTGTCCTGTTACGATTGCACTAAAATACTCCTTTCCAACTCCTTTCGAACACATTCCAAACAGAATCTGAATGTGAAGTTGCAAACGCAGTTTTATGCTATGCTGGGCACGGCTACGCAGTTAAAGTTGCAGACCGTCTATCAAGCAGTAGCAAAACAAAAGAGCATGAATGCTAATGGGAGACCATGCTGCTGAGATGGGGTGCATAGAAGCTTGATACCGGTTGTGTGAAAAGGCGGCCATCTATCTGTATATGAAACAAATACTAGTAGCTTCTTGTTACTAGTAGTATGGCCAGGAACCCCTAGTAGC